AAAAAAAAAAAAAAAAAAAAAAAAAACTTAAATTTCCAAAATTAGGAGAATGGTTTTCATTAAATTACGGGTACATTTATACAACAAAATGTTCACAGCATTAAAAATTATGTAGACCCCATAAACGTGGAGAAAAGTTTTTTTTTTTTTAAAATATGTAAATATAGAGAAGGAACAGAAGGTAGGCAAAAATGAAAACAACTGCATTGCTTGTAGGTTACTAACTATTTTTCAATTCACTATTTCATTCAAAAAATATTCAGTGAATGCCTACTATCTGCTAGGCACTATTCTAGGTGCTTGGAGTGATCAGTGAAAAAAGCAGATTCTTGCCTACAGAGCATACTTCTAGTGAGAGACTATGTGAGTAAATTATATAGTAATTAAGAGGTTAAGTGCTATGGGAAAATAAATAAAAATGGGGGAGGAGGATAAAGTGGATAGGGAATGGAAGGAGGTAGATGGTAAACCTCACTTAACATTTGACATTTAAGCCAAGACTTAAGTTTTCACATTTATATAATTTAATCAATCTTATGTTTCTCATTAATGTTCTAGGGTATCAGAAATTACAAGTTAAAATTTTATTTAAAAAATTTTCAACAGAAATTATAATTACATACTTATTACAAAATGCATTTTAATATAGAAAATTTAGAAAAACAAAAAGAAATAAAAATCCATAGATCTACCACTAATAATACTGTTAACATGTTTGTATACCCTTCTAGTCATTAATTTATGTATTTGAAATGAGATACAACTATTCTGTAACCTGTTTTTGCTACTTTGATGTATCATAAACAGCTTTCATGTCATTAAATCTTTTACATTAACAAACACAGTATTCAGTTGTCAACCAAGTCCTTATTGTATTGGACACCTGCGTTGTTTCTACTTTTTCACCATTATAATCAATGCTCATAGCTAAATCTTTGGACATACCTATGTAAATATTCCTCCCACAGTTTTCCATTCTTGCTTAATTAAACATACATTATCATTTCGGTGACTGATATTGCACTCTTGTATATTCCTCATTTCTGCTAATGTCAACATAATTATAATTTTTAATGCCTACATAAAGTCCACCAGGATGTACACTAATTTACTAAACTACTCCCTACAAGAAGACATTTAGGTTGTTGTTTTGGGCTTTTCCTATTACAATGCTGCAGTAAATGTCTTCTGGCTTTAGGCTTTGTTTCCATTTAATTATTTCCGTAGGATATATTCTTAAAAATAGAATCTACCCTGTGACTCTTGCCACATAGCACAACATTGTTTTTAAAACAAAACACAACATTGTTTTACAACAAAAAGTTGTAAGGATTTTAAATACCATGAGCAGGTGTAGCAGTTTCATGGCAAATGAAATACCTTAAAAAAAGGAAATCATGTTTTAAAAAATAAGATATAAAAGAAGTTAAAACACACAAAATCTAAAATCCACTCTGGAAACAGCTGGGGGGCATCAAAATCAATTATTTTCCTATTTGGGTTCCAAGTGTTAAACATCTTTCTTCCCGTGGCCCCAGAGAGACCAAAGATGGAATGCACTAGTGAAGACTGTCATACTGTATAAAGCACCTAGAAGAGCGCCCACCAAGTAGCAAGTACCTCGAGAAATATTTCTTCCTATCACCTATTTCTGATGACCACCAATATAATTTGGAAATATGTGCAGAACCCTCTTCAGAATAATAAATTCATGGTCGCCTAAATACTGGGCCTCTGAGAAGAGAACAGAGTGCAAAGATCAGCAGCAAAGACTTCTGTCTACTTACTTGTCCCCACGAGTAATAATCCTGATGAAGAATTTTGAGAGAAAATATACATTGCTGGTTGAGAAAGACTACTTACTGGGCATGCTACAGTTAGACAAATGTTTAGGTACAAGACCAAACACTACATCACACATATATGAAATCTAAATAAATGTTCCCTCGATTTTCAGCAGAAGGGTCAACTTTTTAGGTAACTTTTAAGGTAAATTTATATCAGATTTTAGGGAAAATCTGATATAAATTTACCAGACTGAGATGGCCGCCTGGATGGCCAGCCTGAAAGCTGTGAAATGAACTAAGGTCCTTTTCTAAGGGTTTCTTAGGACTTTTCACTTAATAACAAGGAAGGTGGACAAAGATACAGTATAAATAGAGCCAGTACCCCCTGCAACTAGAGTTGCCAGATTTCGCAAATGAAATACACAACCCACAACTGGAATTTCAAATTTAACTTAAACTATGCAACGTATACTTAAAAATAATTGGTTGTGTACGTGAAATTCTAATTCAACTGGGTGCCCCCCAGTGTTTTGTCTGGCAACGCTATCCCTTACACCTACCTCAACTTCGATTGAAGACAGCAAAGTGCCTCCCAGTCCTCTCTAACCTCGACTTCTCTGTTAAAAAACGAAAAGGTGTCAGCTATGATAAGAGTTTCTCAAACAGGAAAATAAAATACTCGATGCAAAATCCATAAATTGAAGTTTCATTTTAAAAAGTGATGCTACATAAATGCGTCAAGGAGCTAGGCGGTAGACTAAAAAAAGGGCATACAGAAATCTGACTACGAAAGCGGTGGGCTCTGGACGTGCAGAGGAACTTTCCAGCTAAGACTTTTGACAAAGAAATATCGCTCGAGGGGCCTCACTTGCCCATTCTGAATTAATGGCCTCGCGGGGCCGAGAGGAGGAGCGCCCAACAAAGCGCCTCCTCCTCCAACCAACCACGACTTCAGCGATCTCTCATAATAGACCCCACACCGCCGGGCCTGTGGCGGCTCAGAGACCAGCAACTTACTGACACCGGCAAGATTCGGAGATGAGTTGCACAAAAAAACAGGGCGGGAGCGAAAACGGGGAAAGCCCGAGGCGAAGCGAGTAGAGAGAGGTGGGCCGCCGCGGGTGGGCAGAGAAGGCAGTGAGGCGGCGGAGACAAGGCCTCAAGGGCCCTCGGAACCGCCATCCCCTCTTCCAAATCTAGCCTCGCCCGAGCCTCTTCCTTCGCTGATTGTTCCAAGAAATCCCACTACCCTCCCAAATAAGAACAGGCCGTCCCAAAACTCACCCTTTACCGACTGATCTCTCCTCGGAGTAACGGCGAAGCTACACGGCCTCTACCGTCCCGAGAAAAGAGCGCGCGACCGCCGGAAACGAGACGATGGAGATCGGTGCCTCCCAAGGGGTACAAAGTGGTGTTCTCGATTGGTTAGCTGAACTGCTAATCAAGGTTTATCTCCCGAGGCGGAATCATTTTTCCGCCATTTCTTAGATTCTATTGGCTGCCGAATGCCAAAGGCTTGAGTTGGTGTGAACGACAGATGGGGACAAAGAGCGAGGCTTTGTACCTAATACGCATGTGCAAGCGGCCTGGCGCGTGAGACGGAAAAGGAAAGGGGGAGGGGGAAAAGGAAAGGGAGAGGAGCTGGGGGTGGGGGTCGGAAGGAGAGACAAACGCACTAACTGAAAGACTGAAAGACCAAGTGGTGGGAGGGGGAAAGGAGAGGAGAAAATGGGAGACAGAGTAAAGTGGAAAGAGGGAGAGGAAGGGGAGAAAATGTGCGCGTAGGTGTGCTCGGAGCATTTCTGCACTGCGCCTGTGCAAGATGCAAGAGTAACAATGTCATATTCAATGTAATAGATTTGGCCTCGCCATGTTTCCTTTTTCCACACTTCCTCGTTAGGGCTTGCATCCTGACAGCTCATACTTAATCAGATTTCTAGGTGCTTCTGCTGTTTCTAGGGCTACTTGGGAAACGCAACTGAAATAGTCCACTCTTTGGTCATGGTTACAGACAGGAGGTGGGGGAGGAGAGGGAACATCATACCTTAGTCTCTGCGTGATTACACAGAATTGTAACCAGCACCCTCATTTCCATGGTAACCAGAAAACCTAGCAGTCCAAACATCACTATTGTTCCTATGATTTACAGAGAGCTTCAACAGGTGTCATCATTGCCGTGGATATACTGTAGGCCTACAGATCAGATACTCCATAAGAGGCCTATTAGTAACTAACCTTCACTGTTTCAGTAATGCCTAACTCGCCTCGCCCCAGTGGTTAACCATGGACTACAAGGATCAATTGATAGGTATTTGTTGTTAATTCCCACTAATTCACACTCAGGGTTGCAGGGTATCCCAGTGGGCACCACCTTATGTGGGGCACAATGATCTAGACTTGCTGTCTGCAATGATGGAAAGGTCCTATCTCTGCTGTGTTCAGTATGGCAGCTACTAATGATAAGTGGCCATTGATATATGACTAATGTGACCGGGCGCAGTGGTTTAGGCCTATAATCCCAGCACATTGGGAGGTCGAGGCAGGCAGATAACCTGAGGTCGGGAGTTCGAGACCAACCTGACCAACATGGAGAAACCTCGTCTCTACTAAAAATACAAAAAATAATTAGCCGGGCGTGGTGGCACATGCCTGTAATCCCAACTATTCGGGAGGCTGAGGTAGGAGAATCGCTTGAACCCAGGAGGCGGAGGCTGTGGTAAGCCAAGATCGCGCCATTACACTCCAACATAGGAAACAAGAGCCAAACTCCATCTCAAAAAAATTAATAAAAATTTTAAAAAATGAAATATGACTAATGCAACTGAGGACCTGAATTTTTAATTCTGGCTGGGTGCAGGTCTCATGCCTGTAATCCTAGCACCTTGAGAGGCCGAGACGGGCAGAACACCTGAGCCCAGGAGTTCGAGACCAGCCTGGGTAACATGGCAAAACCCCATCTTCAAAA